TGTGTGTGTGTGTGTGTGTGTGTGTGTGTGTGTGTGTGTGTGTGTGTGTCTTTGTATTTGTTACCTTATAAGGCCCATGTTTCCAGCAAATACTACATTGTGAGGACCAAATGCTCCTTCTGGGGCCCAAAGCCCGGGCTCCATAAGAAGAAGTGCCATTGGTGGGTTACGATTAGGGTTAGGTATGTACTGGTACTGTTAGGTTTAGGGTAAGGGTCAAACTATAGAAATTAATGAAAAATGAATGGAAATCAATGTATGTGTGTGTGTGCGCGCACACGTGTGGAGCTGACCAAACTGTGAGGAGTGAACCAAACCAAAGAGCTGAAATCTTTTTCATGGGAAAAAAAATTGTTAACAACTTCACAAATTTACATCACAAAATTATCTCCTTTATAGCAAGAAAAACTGTTACATCTATTAATTTTATTTTTCTTTTGGCTGCTCCCTGCGTTAGGGGTTGTCACAGTGAACTAAGTCGCATGAAGACGTGGCAGTTATTTTTACGCCGGATGTCCTTCCTGATACAACCACAGACACCGAGCTACCACAGTCCTCTGTGTGGAGCAGAGAGCTGCTGTCTAGGACACCTGGAGGAGCAGATGGTGGGGGTTAAGGGCCTTCCTCAGGGGCCCAGAGTGGGGGCGAATGAGGGTGGGGGCAGGTGTGGGTGCTTCACCTACCCCACCCACACTTTTGATGTTGTCGGTACCAGGGCTTGAACCGGCGATCTTCCGATCACAGGCCCACCTTCTCTAACCTCTGCGCCACCACTCCCCGTGTTATATCTATTAATAGAAGAACTTATTGCACACATGCAATACCCTTCTTTTGTTGTGGGTTTGATTTGGCAAAAGAACAAATTCTAAACTGGATTTGGTGTGATAAACTTTCATAAAGCTTTTTAATCTTTTAATGGATTTGGCACGGCTTATTTTATTTCATAATCATCTATTAACTGTATTTGAACACATAATCTTCCCTGTATCTCGTTTGACAGCCAAATATTACATTATAAGCCCTTCACCTAGGCCTGTCTCCAGGATGGGGGCCCAGACACCCGCGCCTGGGAAAGAGACATTGAGCTCCTTGTTTACTCCATAGAAGTGTTGTCCATACAGTTAATTCCAATTTTTGATACATTTTTTCACAGTAAGTTTAGAGATCTGGCAATTTGGAACTAAATCTTGAGGCAAGCAAGATTTATGTCCAGATTATAAAACAACTGAGATGCTGGAAAACATCTTAATTTATAAAAATGCAAATTGTTTCCTGTCATTTTTTTTTTTTGCAAATACAGTAACATGCGGTCAGGATTCAGACACTGTGTAACTGTTTAATTTAACCCCATGTAAGCAGTGGTGGGCACAGTGCTAAGCAAAAGTTAGCTTTGCTAACCCATATTCCGGTAACAAAAAAAAATTTTTTTGCTAACCCTAAACAATTAAATAAATAAAAAATAGCGTAAGCTAATGCTAAACTGCTAACCGCTAAGACGACTGTCACTTAGTCTACATCACACGTCTTCGTCTCCTTCCAGTTAAAGCTGCGGCAGCCGATCACGTCTTGTCATGTGTATATACAGTATGCCAACAGCGTGCATAACAGACTGTTTGACAGGAACAAGCTTGTGAAGTTTGTTAGCAAACTTAAAGTTGGCAAAACCTAATTCAGCTGAAGCTAATTTCTTTAACGGTTTCCAAAGTTAGAGAAAACAATAATCATCTAAACGAAAAATTAGTTCAGCTATTAGCTGTTAGCAAATTAGAGGAACTGTGCCCACCACTGCATGCAAGAATAAAAATGTTGTGGTTTTAACTCTTAAAAAACTATCCAAATTATAGAGAACTCCAAAAATCCTTTGGTTTTAAATTGACAAATATTTAAAAGTTAAAGAGGTGCGAGCTCAAACAAAAACTTACCCAAAAGAGAAAGTTGAATGTAAACAGAAGGTATTTCAGGCAGATGGTGCCACAGGTTTCCTTTTTCTCCTCATAAACCCCCATACTGAAAGAGAGAGCAGACAAGAACAATTTTAGTCTACAGGTTCATAATACAGAGGTATGGAGGAAATATAAATGTGCAAATTCAAAAATATCTTCAATATATAGCACAAATAGAACAAAGATTTAGTGTGCGCAGAATATTGGCATATTATTTAGAGAAGCGACAAAACCAATTTATTTAGATAAAAATCAAATATTATTTGACTTATTGTTCCTAAAAGTAACTAATAAAAAATAAAGCTTTACCAAATATATTTGATGAATGATTCTGTATTTAAATCAACCGATCCGTTAGTCCTCAGAACTAAGCTTCATTGATTTAACTTCTGTGCACAAATATAGATTACAGTAGTCCCTCGCTACTTCGTGGTTCATTTATCGCGGACTTGCTCTATTGCGGTTTTTCAAAATAAGATTGGAAATGACACACAATTGGCTGATTGATGGTTGAACCACACGATTGGCATGGAATCTTTATTTAAAATAAATTGTAAATTGTTTAGCACCTCCTGCACCTTTGTGCAGCCCTTACTGTTGGATAAGCTTCCTGCTGCAAGTGATCGGCTGTTCTCCATACAGAGTGGCGAAGTGGGCGTGGCCAAGAGTGCTTGCTTGCATGTGGCAAAGAGCAGAAGAGGCAGAGAGATGAAAACATGACATTCGGTGCTCTTTTAGAGTGTTTAGAAACATTGTTTAGAATATTGCCAGAGTGTGGGAAGGGTTTAAAATGCCATTAATATATATATATATATATATATATATATATATATATATATATATATATATATATATAAAATGTGGGAAGGTTTTAAACGCCATTTATATACAAACCGGATTCCAAAAAAGTTGGGACACTAAACAAATTGTGAATAAAAACTGAATGCAATGATGTGGAGGTGCCAACATCTAATATTTTATTCAGAATAGAACACAAATCACAGATCAAAAGTTTAAACTGAGAGAATGTATCATTTTAAGGGAAAAATCTGTTGTTTCCAAATTTCATGGCATCAACAAATCCCTAAAAAGTTGGGACAAGTCCATTTTTACCACTGTGTGGCATCCCCCCTTCTTCTTACAACACTCAACAGACGTCTGGGGACAGAGGAGACCAGTTTCTCAAGTTTAGAAATAGGAATGCTCTCCCATTCATGTCTAATACAGGCCTCTAACTGTTCAATCGTCTTGGGCCTTCTTTGTCGCACCTTCCTCTTTATGATGCGCCAAATGTTCTCTATAGGTGAAAGATCTGGACTGCAGGCTGGCCATTTCAGTACCCGGATCCTTCTCCTATGTAGTCATGATGTTGTGATTGCTGCAGAATGTGGTCTGGCATTATCGTGTTGAAAAATGCAGGATCTTCCCTGAAAGAGATGACGTCTAGATGGGAGTGTATGTTGTTCTAGAACCTGAACATAGTTCTCTGCATTAATGGTGCCTTTCCAGACATGCAAGCTGCCCATGCCACAAGTGCTCATGCAACCCCATACCATCAGTGATGCAGGCTTCTGAACGGAGCGTTGATAACAACTTGGGCTATCCTTGTCCTCTCTGGTCCGGATGACATGGCGTCCCAGTGTTCCATAAAGAACTTCAAATCGTGACTCATCTGACCACAGAACAGTCTTCCATTTTGCCACACTCCATTTTAAATGACCCCTGGCCCAGTGCAAACGTCTGAGCTTG